TCTGTAACCTTCATCCTGCCTCCAAATGGCCAGGTTCAGAGCACCACTGACAAGAAACATAGGACAGGTCAACCTTGTGACTTTCTCGCTTAGACAATACTTCCATCACGTGGATGGGGGTAAACAAGGATAATAGAGAACAGATACCTTGGAGTGATCACAATGTCATCAAAGCATTAAGTCATCAAGCTATAGGATCCTCAAAACAGACAGCCTTCAAATGACTCCAGGTATTAGATGATATTATTGATCACGGGCACCAATTGGTGGAATTTTATTTGTTCAGTTCTGTGTCTGTGAACACAAACAGTTGGCGACTTCCACCAAATCCTGTTCTGTTAATGCCTGAAGATATTAACAACTTAATTACTGTGGTATAATTATTTTGACAAAGTTGCAGTCGTTTGCACCAGTCATCAGGAAACTCTGCAGTCAGTAAATAATAAATTGAGCAGAACAGAGCAGTTATATTGCTAAAAAGTTACTTTTGTCAACAATTATGATCACCAGATAGTGTACAACAACAATATGCCTTTATACAGTGCCTCTCACCCAAGTGACAGAGCACAACACCGAACCAGGGGGAGGGCGAGATGACTGTAGGCACGGTCGAAGAGAAACGTCTTCAGACGTAACCTGAAGATGGGGAACGAAAGGGCAAGGTGGAGGGTTCAAGGAAGAATGTTCCAGAGTTTCAGGGCGTTGAAAGCACGGCTACCGATGGTGGAACGGAGAGCACGAGGGATATGCAGGAGGCCGGAGCCAGTTGAGAGGAGGCAGTGGGAAGTGGGTTGGGGGGGGGGGGGGGGAAGGAAGCAGTTCAGAGAGGCAGGAAAATGAGTGTGAGGATCTTGATCTTGAGTCCTGTAGCTCAGCGGTTAGAGCGCTGAGAGACCTGGGTTTGATTCCCAGCAGAGTGAAATCTTGGGCAAGTTTCCTTATTCCATTTGCCTAATAATAATCCCAAGAAGATAAAATAATAATAAATTGGTCACTCATCCACAACTGTTTGTGGGACACTGCTGTGCCCAATTGGCTGCCACATTTCGCCCACAAATATGCAGTCAATTCATTTTAGTTTATTCTGTGAAGCGCTTTGAGATGTCTAGAAGACTGAAAAGCGCTTTATCAAATGCAAGGATTATTATTATTATTGAAATCAATCCGTTCGGCCATAGGGAGCCATGTTCTGGAACATAACCTGAATAGATTATCAGTACCAGAATACAGTCACATCCCTGGCGAGTACTCAAACTTGCTTCCTGTAGCACACAGTAGTGTTTCCACTTCCAATTGACTGTAACATTAGCAGACGCTGCCAGTTTCGGCCCTGAATCAGCATCCTCAGATCAGTATTGCAACAGAGGATGGTATCCAACAACAGAAAGCCAATATCCTGTCTCCAGGCCAGGCCTTGGAATCACACTGCTGATTGGGGCTCTCAATTCTTGCCATTATTACTAATCTCCAGTCAAGAGTGCAATGCACAGTCACTGTGCCAGGAAATCTGAACATTTATTCCCTGTTGGCAGTCTTTGCTTACCAAATATCTCTACTCCCAGTAAATAATATTTCAGTAAAACAGGCACACGTTCAGCTCTGCTCTGCCCCTCCTCAAAGGTATGCTTTCCTTCTATGGAAGCACATCCCCAAACTGAGTGTATCTAAGAATCTCCAATCAGGAATAGGCAACTAGCGTCTGTGTCCACTTCCCCTCCCCCATCTGGCTGAGGAGAACAGAAGAAATCATGACAAATTAAAAATTGCTATGTGTGGGCAAGCATGATGTGAAATTAATTGCAGTTTGTTTTAAAAATGGATTTTTAGTTACAATTTCTTCAGCAATTACTTGAGCAAGTCCCTCTTATAGGCAGGAACAAAAAAAAAGTGTAGAGATGGGGGAAGAGATTGGGCCAGCCAATATTGTCAAAGTATGTAAGGATTTGGCAGTTTGTGTGCAGGTCTTCAAACTAGTTGAGGTCCCAAAACACTGAAATGGGTATAGTACAGAGAGTTAAGGAAGCAGTTCACTATAGTTCATTTTGTAAACGCAGAACACATTTTCCTAACTTTACCTTCCAATAGTAATGATAATCCTTGCATTTGACATAGCACCTTATCATGTTTTCGAGACGTTTCAAAGCGCTTCACAGAATATACTGTAAAGTGAATTGAAAATATATTTATTGGGCCAAACGTGGCAGCCAATTGCGCACAGCAGTGTCCCACAAACAGTTGTGGGTTGGTTGACCAAATTATTATATGTATATGTTTTTGAAGGGATTATTACAGCCAGAAAAGCAATCCGCCAATTGACTAACAACAGGGTTCCCACTTCCTGCTAGGTAAACAGAGTAAGGAAAGCGTGTGGAGTAAGGAAACTTGTCCAATAATTCGCCCTGCATGGGAATCAAACCCAGGTCCTCTCGTTTGCTCTAACCACGAAGCTACAGGATTCCACAAATGGCCTTTTTTTAAAAAAAAAACCTAAATATCTTGGTTCAGATTTTTTTGGGAGCTGTGCCAAATGAGTTAGGCTATTGCCAGATTTTCTATTCCTACTGACTGGTCTGATTCTGGGAGGGCAGGAGTACAGATTCAAAGCTTGGGGGCAAAGTGGGAAAGCCACATTTCCAGCGATTCTCACACATTATTAGGTAGAGACTGCACGTGGAGGCAGGGGAAATAACCTTTGGTTTATTATATATATATTTCTACTGTTCTTACTGTCTTGCTCCACAACTTCCATTTAACATATGGATTGGGAGCACCGGGTAGATTACATCTGTGTGTTTTTTATCAGTTTTCTTCTCTCCCCACCACTAGTTTCCTGATCAGTCAGTGTAAGAGTTGTCAAAGTTTGGAGGGAGGTCATCTGAATTTAAGTGTTTTTGTAAAATACACATCCAGACTTTCAGGTCAAAACTGATCTTTTTTTTAAGAAAAATGCATTGTACATTGTAAATGTTAAAAAGCAAAGCTTGTGTTTTTTATGAGGCAGGTGTCGATTTCAAGATCCTATCACTCGTTTTCGATCCCTTCATGCTCTCTCGCTTCCCTACCTCTCCGACCTGCTTACCCCCCATTTACACTACTGCTGCCTCCACTCAGCTGGCTCCAGCCTCCTGTTTGTCCCTCTTCATCGGTAGTCTTGCCTTCAGCCACTACACCCCGAAACTCTTTCCCTCAATCGCTCCACCTTGGACCCTCCCTCCCCACCTTCAAATCTCACCTAAAGATCTTCCTGTTTGATCGTGCTTACGGTCACCTCCCCCTTCCCTCTGGCTCTGTGTCAGACTCTGCCACTGTCAAGCGCTCCGGGACGCTACCCCGTGTGAAGGGCGCTATATAAATACAAGTTGTTGTTGCTGTTATTGTGGTTGTTGAGTAAATCAGTGATCTAGATTGAAGGCATTTTCTATCAGCGGTTTGTTTACACCTTGGAATGTTTTCAGTTCTGCTCTCATCAGGATTTGTTCTGCAGTCCAAAACCTTCAGCAGAAACGATCATTATTTCCCTGACAAATTTCACTCAACAAAAATTCAAATTCACATTGGTAAATATATTCACAAGAGTAAAGTGATATAATGAGCCAAGATGTCAAGCATCAATGAATGGATCCATACATGAGGCTCCACTTGTCCCTACTCCAGTGAAATGCAGAACCGATCCCCATTCCCATGCTGCAAGGGCCAGGGTAGAGTCCCGTGTGCCCCAGTATTCTATAGCATTTGCTATAGCGCCTTATCACGTCTTCCAGACATCGCAAAGCACTTCACAGAATATACTGCAGAGTAAATTGATTGTATATTTTCAGAATATACTGTACATTTTGTGGGCGAAACAGGCAACCAATTGCACACAGCAGTGTCCAACAAAGTTATTTTGAAGGAATTATTACCCCTGGAAAAACAATCCACCAATCGAATAACAACTACTTACTGCAGTTACAATTACAACTACTTGCTGCTAAGTAAGCAGAAACATGTGGAGTCAGGAAACTCGCCCAACATTTTGCCCTGTCTGGGAAACGAATCCAGCGAGTTCTCTAGCCACTAAACAACAGGACTCTTACGTGTGCTTTGCTCATAATGATACTGGGAGGACTGATTTGAGTTACCCTTACAATGTTTGAAATTATTCAAAGATTCAGATAAAGCCTAATTATATCACTTGTATGGTTAGCTGGGTCGTCAATAAACAATCCATTCCCATTATTCTCATTGGATACCATGAAGATCCCAAGATATTGTACCCTCAATTCATACCATTATATTTATAAATGAATTTATTTTCTAGTAATTATCTATAAATTGTTACTCGATGGATGGAGTCACAAGTGGTAATCCTTCAGTCTGTGAATCACCCAACAAAGAGCTTCTATGCATCATGAAACCTGCCAGGAAGGAGACAATAAAACTGCTGATCTACAGAATCCAACTTACAGAAACCAACAGGAGTAATTCATAAACAGACTCTGAGACTGAAGGAATCAGATGACCCAGTTCATAAATTAATGAACTTCCTCTCTGTTTTGAGAAAAATCTGAAGTTCTCAATGAGATTCAGTTTTTCTTTGTTTTTTCAGTTCTACACCTACAATATTTACAGTAGTCTAATCTGTAGGCTAATTCACAAAGGATGGATTCAGTTACTCAGCTCTGGGAATTGTATCTCTTAAAACAGGGTTCCATATTTACTCATATAAGCACTTAACAGGAAGATTTTTAAAAAATTATATAAGACAGAGTGAAGAGATCTCAAATATTTTTAAGGCAAAAGGCAAAATACTGCAGATGCTGGAAATTTGAAATAAAAATGAGTTCAGATGAAAGATCATCGACCTCGACCTGAAACGTTGACTCACTTTCCTCTCTCCATAGATGCTGCCTGACCTGCTGAATGTTCCCAGCAACTTTTGTTTTTATTTCATATGATTTTTAAAACGGTTTCACCTGTCACGTTCAAAGATTCCCACCTGCTTGACATACTGGGTTTACCTGTTGCTGTGGATACTGCATTGCTGCCATGCTGCTTTGGGTCCTGGCCTGCATACCCATTGGGTACCGCTGTGCTGTCGAAGGCCCATATGGCTGCCCAGGATAGGGTCCGCTCTGTTGCTGCTGTGAATAAGGATTGTTGCTCATCCCATATCTCTTCATACCCATCTGTTCCATTGGATTGGCCTATCAGCAATGCAAAATAAAGACAATTATTAACCAAGAAATCTGGAATATGTGCAAAGCACAACAATGAAGGAATATAATAATCCTTATCAAGTCTTTGAGACGTCTCAAAGCACTTCACAGAATATACTGTACAGCCTCTCTTCACCTAGTTAGTTGGAACTTGGTTGTTAGCCGAATGGCACATCTTTTTTGGGGTAATAATCCCTTCAAAAATTATCTTAAAAAAATAATAATTTGGTCACTCAATCCACGACTGTTTGTGGGACACTGCTGTGTGCAATTGGCTGCTGCGTTTCACCCACAAAATATACAGTGATTTGAGACGTCTCTATGACGTGATGAGGCACTATATCAAATGCAAGGATTATTATTTTTATTATTACATTTATATAAAAAAAACTTTCTTTACTAATGCAACAATCCTCAACAGTGTAATGTATAATTAATTGGAGGATATTTGACAATCACCTGGATGTGGCTAACGTTCAAGAGCAACTCTCAAATGACAACTATTATACAGCTGTATGAATGATTTTTCAGTCCTTGCCAACCCTCGTTTCACTCAGATCCTCCAACATATTAATCTCCCAATCCAGCTCCTCCTGGACTCTTGCAACTCATAGGGACTCTCACAGTGAAGCCCTCAGTTCTCTCTTCCTACCTATACTTTGTAGTGTCATGCAGAACAACCTCAATTACACGCACCTTAACAATACCCTGAGGTGCTGGCTCAGTGTAATTTATCCTATATACAAATGATGGCAACAGAGAGCTGCACATCAACACGCTCACATACATGCAATTGTGTGAAAGCTATCGCCAATCAACTAACAACTGGGTTCCTACTTATTACTAGGTGAATGTGGATTAAGGAAACTTGCCTAACGTTTCGTCCCGCCCGGGAATCGAACCCAAGTCCTCTCACTTGTGAGGCAGGTGCTCTAACCACTAAACTACAGGACTCCACATGTGCTGTAGTTCAGTGGTTGGCGCACTCGCCTCGCCTCTGATGATTAATGAGTTTTCAACTTTGCAGCTGGTCAAATTGCAAAGGTCCGTAGCTAGAAATCGAGAAAAAATGGTAACTTAAGAAATAAAAGCACATGGCAGTAGTTTTTGTGCTCTTGCTACTGGCAGGAATTCTACCTAGTAAAGTAAAGCAAAGTAGACTCCTGGTGCCAGCAGTCTCCGTGTTAAATAAGACCAGCTCTCCGATAGTCTGTAGCTGAATATAGCACTAAAATCACATCATAAGCACAGAGTATCAAGGCACATGCTTTAACAAAACACACCTAATACAACCTTCATTAGTGTTGCTGTAACATGGTGAAGATATGAATGACAATCTCATTATACAATGAATGTAATATCACGTCTTTTTAATAAACGTCATGCTGTAATTGTCAATGGTATTTTGTGTATATTAAAAACAAAATCCACAAATAATTCTCTTAATATTGTCTTGGAGGTTTTTTTTAAAAAACAAAGATGAGATTATAGCATGTTAGCATTTTGTTGAACAACATTATTGGATGGAGTTTACCACTCTCATAACAATGTCCTTCATAAACTTGAACCTCATTCCTTCTTCAAATCAGCTCAGTGAAGCACTCCAGACCTCTGACCTACTTTGTGATCATTCAATAAATGTATCATCCACTAAAATGTAGATCACAAACTCGGATACATTTGACATACTCAGATGTCCAGATTTGCTCAGCAGTTGTCAATTTCCTTCCTTACACACAACTCATCTGACAATCGCATTAGCCCAAGTATTTCTTGTGAAGTTCTTTTGTTGCATAATCTGCCATGCAGGGCACTTTGAACCTCCCTTTATCTCTGTCTGCAAGGACACTGCAGATTCAGCAATTCAGAAAAAAAAACATTTCTAGTTTTTAAAACATACACTTACTTTCCTTTCGTGGAATATTACATCTGCAAAACCAATCTCTTATTTTCAAAGGATATAAATGTGAATAAAACAGAATTATTTAAAACAAAACTCCTAAACTAAGTGCTGCATGTTCAGCATCCACATCCTTGCCAGGCTTCACTGGCTCCCTGGTCCCTAATGGGATGACTTTCTGAATTCCCCCTCCAGCCATACCCTCACTCCACAATCTCAGGACTGCTGTATCCCCCTGCCCACCATTCCTTCAGCCACTATATCCTTGCTCTTGGCAACTACTTCTTAGAATCCCTCAACCTTGTACCCTCCCTCTTGGTTTTCAGTGCTTCTAAAAAAAAACGAGTTCAACTGTGACTTGGGTCAACTCTCTTCCACCTCCTATTTCCCACCTTCCTCAGGTTTCCACTCCATCTCTCAAAGCAACAACAATTTGCATATAGAGCGCCTTTCACATAGGGCAGTGTCCCAGGTGCGAGAACGCAATCGGTCTATATACTCAGTCTCAAAGCAGATCTGAGTGTACACTCAGTCTGTGCACGCAGTCTCCAAGCACTTTGAGACATTATAATTCCTTCAAAAAAATTATAATTTGGTCACTCAATCCACGACTGTTGGTGGGACACTGCTGTGCTCAATTGGCTGCCATGTTTCAGCCACAAAATACAGTCAATTCACTTTACAGTATATTCCGTGAAGCACTTTGAGACTCTTGAAGACGTGATAAGGCGCTACATCAAACGCAAGGATTATATTACCCTACGTGAAAAGTGCTATATAAATCAAGTTGTTGTTAAAAGGTAAAGGATACTAAACATTCCAGTGGTTCAACTGGAACCATAGACTTCACAGTGATGAATATTCAAGTGACGCACCTTCTCTTTTATTGGTATCTCTTCCCGTTTCAGCAGATTTGTGGTGTTTGGAACTAGGAAACGTTAAACAGTTGAAGCATAAAAACTAAACAAAGGGTTTCCCCCGTCTACTCTGGAGTTTTCAAGGGTGCTTCATTATTATGATAGTAAAATACAACAGACTTTTTTTGCTTAATACACGCCTCAGGGGAACAAAGCTTCCATTCAGCATACTAAGAATGTCTTCTAGAGCTGTTCATTTTGGACACAAAAGAATGTAGACATATAAACATTAAAAAATTGAACCACTTTTGTTTAGTACTAAACTGAAGAATGAAAGAGAGAGGCAGCACTAACCTGAGGGAAAAATCTTGAGCGCTGAGGTTTCAGGAACCACAAGGTAGATGAGAATGAAGAGTGAGAGTATACAAAGGCAGTTAAAGGTTAAGCACATTTTGACTTCATCAAGGTGAAACACTTTAATACTGGGAAATGGAATCATTCCCAAATTGTGCACCGAGTCAATAACAAGCACTCCCAGGTCAGATATCGGACAATATAATAGAGCAAAATTTCCTCTACCCCAACAATGTGCCTTAACTGCAATCTCTGAAATTCCAATCGTCACACCGTTTTACAGAATATCTTACGGAGCGCTTTGAGATGTCTCAATGATATGATAGGATGGAAATGCATCAAATGCAAGGATTATATTACGATGCCATGGTGAAACTTAACAAAATATGCTACAAAACAAATAGTCACTCCACCATACAGTGTTTCCTGAAAAGCACTTTGAGACATCCTCCTGACCTGAAAGGTGCTATACTAAATGTAATGATTATTATAAAAAAAATCACAAAACAAACTGAATTACAAGGCTGTGATGGCAATAATGCAAAGATTCAAGGAAAGTTCCAAGCCAAGCTCCTGAAGAGTCATAGAACGTCACAGCACAAAAGGAGGCCATTCAGCCCATCATGCCTGTGCCAGCTACGTGTGCCTTGGAAGAGCTACCCAATCAGTCCGACTTCTCCGCTCTTTCCCCATGACCTTACAAATTTCAAATTTGTTATCCTGGAGTTCCCGTAATTTAATTTATTAATTTACACAAGTCCAACCAGAAGCTCATTCAGACCAAGCTGATACATTTTAATAATTCACTACTATCAAGTCTTAGCCTAAAAGTTTGTGGTGTTGTTCCTCTCTCCTCTCCAGTGCTGATTTATACAAACAGGAAACTAACAACAACAACTTGCATTTATATAGCGCCCCTCAGCTCTCAACAGTGGCGGAGCACAACTCCGAGCCGGAGGGAGATAAACACAGGCACGGTCGAAGAGGAAGGTCTTCAGACTCGATTTGAAGATGGAGAAGGAAAGGGCAAAACTGAGGGACAGTGGAAGTGATCCAGAGGTTCGGGTATAGTGGCTGAAAGTACAGCAACAATGGTGGAACGGAGGACACGAAGAACATACAGGAGGCCTGGAGCCAGTCGAGCAAAGGCAGCGAATGGTAGATTGCGGGGGTAAGCCGGTTGAATAGGTAGGGAGGTGCCAGGACACGAAAGGATTTCAAAACGAGTGTGAGGATCTTGAAATCGATCCGTTTGGCGTTAAAGAGCCAGTGGAACTTGGCTGGAACTTGTGTGATGTTTAAACCATGATATTTCTCTATTCTGTCAGAAGCTCTACAACTGGGCAGTAAATAAGATCCCTTACATTCTTAACGTGTTACACTGACAATGTGTAAATACTAAAGAAAGACAAAACACAAGATAACATTGCTAAAGTACTTTACAAAGGTAATTGTTGAATTGAGCTCAACCAATTAGGTGAGTATTAAAGTGAAAAACAATTACTTCACAAATCTAATGAATTCCTGTGAGGATATATGGTAATTTAATTAAACCTTTTTTCTGCATTATATTGTGTGAGAGTTTTAATCGCGGCACACCTGCTGGCAAATCGGACTTTACCTACTAGATTTATATACAGTACAATTTACTTGAACAGTATATTCTGTGAAGCGTTTTGAGGCATCTCGAAGATGTGATCTGGCGCTATATTAATTGCAAGGATTATCATTATAAAAATACAGATTTTGCCTGTAAAAGTCGGGTGGGGGGGGGGAGCAGATTTTGCACCAACTGTCTCTCTTCTTCCCTCATTGTGACCAAAACTGTTTGCAGGACTCCAGATACCACCTGGACCAGACAGTGTACAATTTGAGCA